CGCCACTTTCTTCACTGGAAGTGGGGGCGTGAAGCAAGGGACTAGCTAGGAGCTGTACTTTGGGAAAAGATCACATGGTTGCTTTGTATTGTTTGACCACGGCTACCCCACCGCATGTTAAGCCCTGGGTGAGCAAAGGAAAGAAAGGAAAAGGAGAGTGCTTCGGGTTTTCGTAAGCCAATGACTTCGATCCCTGAATCAAAGTTACTGGTTATGTAAATCCAAAATGACACAAGTCTTTCCCTGAACCCCTTCGTTCTGTGACGTACCATCAACACCATCTGTGGTTTCGCTTTCTTCTTCTTCTTCTTCTAGCATTTCAAAGGGAGTCATTATATCATAGAGAAATGAGAGGAAACCATAAAACCAATCTGAACTTTCCTCTGCTAAAATATTAAGGACTTCCTCAAGAGAATCAATATTTTCATTACTGCCATCTTTGGTCAGGCCTACATAAGAATAAAGGAAGAGAGAGAGAGAAAACAAGGAGAGCAGTTAGGTGGAAAAAGCAGCAGAGCAAGACTGGTCTCAAAAAGGATGTGCATCACGGTCACAGAGGTTTACAGAAAAGATATTTTGGAGAATAAAGGAATCAATTAAGATGCACACCGTACAATCAACTCAATCGCGTGGCCTAAAAGAAAGGCACAACTTAACCAATGCTCGCCTTTCCTGCCAGCCCCTGCCGGGGTTTGTGTTTCTCTCATCAGAGAATGTAGAGCTGTAAATACAAAACTCCATCAGCCAACACTGACTGACCACAGTCACCAGGAAGACTGAATCATAGCAGCATGTGGGCCAAAAGGGAGGTACTCTGAACCCCCAGATATGCTCATTTACCCAGCAGAGATCGCGGAGAGTTGATTCTACGAACATTCGCAAAGCTCCATGCATATTTCTCGAAGACAGAAAGGTGCGTTTCCTCAAACGTTTCCCCTTAGGGTCTGGAGTTAACTTGAGAAACTCTGAAATTACTGGATTACTCTTCATGGCCTCCACAGATGAGTATAAATGCTCTCAAACTGTGTCTGACTCAGATAATTCATTCATACTTTAACAATATGGTAGCTCTATAATTTTCTGGCTACGAACAGTCCTTTAGTGTTGGCCAATAATAAAAGTCACTTATTAATAATAGTTCACTCTGCCTATCAATATGAAATTTGATCAGGGCCTTGGCCAGTTATTTGCAATAAGAACTTTCCAAACTTCTGTCCCCATTAGCCCAAGAAATGAGCTGCTACTGCGAAGACCCCAGACTCCTGTTTGGAAGTCTCAGTCCCCAAACAGGCCCCGTGATGGAAAGAAAGCACAGCAATAGTGTTTTTATCATCCATTTTTTGTTTGTTTACTAATTCTTTTGCCTGTGAAGAGCTGACACTGGATAGGAAAGGTCTCTCAACTCCAAGGTCACCAATACCGCCAACCTCTAGATAGCAAGGTCTATAACTTTGAGGAGGGGAAAATGGGGTGTAGGGTTCTGGCTGTAAAAAATGTAAACATCTGTAATGTTAGAAGTAAAACTATAATGACCTAGTTTAGTATTTCAGGCTTTGATGACACAGAATTTCTCCATGTAGCATAACTACCAGCAATGAAGATTGACAGGTAAGAAATAATAATAGTAAAATAAAAAGTATAAATATTAAACATTGTAGTGAATTTCCCCCACTTTAACCCATAGAAGAGCCATATGTGCCATTTTTCATTTATTTGGGGAAGAGGAGGCCACACATTGCAGTTACCGTGTTTAAATTATTTTTGACAAACCCAGGATGTTTTTTTACTGAAGTCAACAGCTGACAATTGCTATGGACAGAAGTTTGTGTTCCCATATAGGTCTCTGTGGAAACAGTGTTTCCTCCTCCCACTACAGCCGTGTATTTACAATAGACATTTTTTCTTTCCAATTTCCCAATAGAAGCACTTCCGAGTTAAAAATATAAAATATAAAACTTGAGCACCCTTTACTGTGAAAGGCTAAATTGTATGACCAATATGCAAAAGCATTTAAACAAAACTATTTTACCCAATAATGCAACTTTCCTGTGATTCTTAAGACAACAGTACTGAGGAAGTTCTGGGTATACAACTCCTTAACCTCTACGAGGAGGCCCAAACCAAAGAGCAGGGTATGAATGCCTTTGAATGGGCAATATCCAGTCCTTTCCTCCCCCCAGCTCACTCACACATCCCTTGTAGTGTATAAATGTTTACCAAGGTGTCCTTTTTGTTCTCTGGCCATGCCTGTGTGGTACCCACTAGGCGCTGGTCCAGGATGAGGGGTCAATCATGTAAGCTTTTAGTGGTATTACTCTAAGAATATGTTACTCTTAACATTTAGTCCTGGAATCAATTTACTATCAGTTTCATTTGGTAAACAAGTTGTCAGAGAGTACATTTTCAAACAAAGTAGTTTTCAATTATCCAAACCAAAGTCATACTTTATTTTAGAAAATTTGGCCCCAGAAGTAGGAAGCTATGTAAACTAGAATAGGCTTAAAATATTGCCAAAGTATATCTTAAGGGTCATTGCCAGAAACAAGGAAATAATAAAATGAATGATGGCTACTGGCCTTGATTTACTTAGACTTATTTCACTATTTCTTTCTATTTCACAAGAAACAATAAACTGTAAAATGTGAAATCAATGTAAACATCAATGTGTACATTTCCTCAAATTGATAAGATTTAAATGTTTGCAGATTTAAGAATGCAGGAATACTTATAAAAGAAATGCCAAAACTATTAAAGTTTAACAGTCTCAACTATTACCACTCCTACCATGCCAAGCTGTCCCCTAATCTCCAACTTCCTACTTTCTGGACACCCTATGCTTTAAGTCCAAAACCCTGGCCTGTGAGCTGTCCCTCCAATGAGGATGCGCTCAGGAAGGTGGGCTTCTTTTTGGGTGTATGCTCATTGAATTTGCTCCCTCCCATAACCTCTCCCTGAACACACAGGGCCCATCAGTATCTCTGTACCCCAGGAATTTCATCAAGCTTTCTTTGCAATTACCTGCTAGTAATCGAGGCACCACTAAACTACAATAACTTCATCAACTAAGAAAGAACTTGAGTCATAAAATTCAATTCTGGTCAAGACTGCATTTCATGCAGAGAATTCAAACACCAGAACAATAAGGTCATAGGACATAAGGGAGCCGAACAGCTCACCTATAGTGTGTTTTATCTTCACTGAAGCCACACACCAACTGTGAATTACACATATAAATGGTGAAACTGTTTACCTGAGCTTTTGTGCACTGAGTAGTTAAACTGTGAAAATTAACTGAGATTCACCAAATTTAATGACACCTCCAAATATATACTGCTTATAAAAAAAAAACAAGTTATGATTCGCCCACACCAGGTGTGTCTACCTACCTGCAAATGGCAATGTTCTAACTTACAATTAGTTAGCCTGTGAATGGTTGATTAAAGGGAATCAACTCTTGAAATCTAAATGTAACACTAAAAATCAAGTTATTAATACCAGCTTGCTATACAAATTAGCGTTTTATTTTAAAAGAGATTTAATTTTAATAGTTGACATTTCTTATCTGACAGACCAAATAATTGATTTAAAGCCAATAAAATCAGTAACACAGAAATAGAAGTAATATTTCTAAAGATGAGGAACCTTGGCCCACATGAAGTAATTTATAAAATTAAAAAGTTTCACTACTCAGAGTCCATCATTTAAAGTAAAGTAATAAAATGGAGTGATAAGCCATTTATAGGCAAGCAAACCAGCATTATTCAGATGTTGAACTCCACATAATCTTATTTGGTTTGCATACTGAGGATTATAGTCTTCCAAGATTCACTATATTTATACAAACTTAAATTTAGCTATGTAATAATAGAATTACATTAAAAAATTCAATGAGGTTAAGATAGAAAAAGAAATTCCATAGATAGTAAGCTATCACTGTTAAGTAGCAAATATAATTCCCACTGAGCAATAGTAAAACATTAACCAAATTTAAGAAGCTATATTACATTTAATCACAACTGAAACCTTTTTTCGTATTTAGAACTTAATGTTTTATAGGAAGATTAAGATAAATCTATGAAAACAGTTTCACTGGTTACAGATGTGATATCCTCCCACTGTGTTCATGTCCATAAAATATACACAAAATTGAGGGTAGAAGAATTTCTTTGTGCCATCATTTTATTAAGCTAAGTGTAGTGTATCCATGCCATATTCATTATTCTTCCAAAGACTCTGGTACAAAAGTTCTAATACACACCATGCTACACACTAAAGCAGAGGAAATGGTGTGGTTTGATAAGCAGAAGCACAGCTCTCTGCAGGCCAGATCACAGAAAATGTGCATATTAGAGCCAGTGCCCTCCTTTCTAGTAAAACAACATTTTAAAACAAATGAGGGAATATCACATTTTTATTTATTAGAAGAACATCTCAATGATAAAGACAGGTACAGAGAAGGGCTCAAGCCTTCCAAAATAAACCTAGCCAAAACCTACTAGTTCATATTTTTAATGTTAGCTTTAAAATATGCACAGCACATTGTAAGATGTTTACTACCACTTTTTTCTTTCAAAATAAATGTATGTAACCTTTTAAAAATGTACATTTTCAAATGGAAGTGGATTTTCAAATGATGCTAAAGAATGCTGTAATGACCATATTTGAAAACAGACTAACACATTATCTCTACGTTCAAAGGTTAAGTTCAGAGTAAGAAGTGCTTTCAATCTGAAAAAAGGTATCAAGTTATTACATTTATTAGGAAGATATGTTAAAAGCAATATGGTATCCACTTATAAAAAGTAAATTGAAATGTGAGTCCATGGAAAAATAATTAAATCACTCAACAAACATATCAACAAGAATAAAATATATGATTTAAGTGGGAAAATATCTCTCATAAAATATATACAATTGACATATATATATCATCAGGGGAAAACTACTCTTCTGTTTCCAGCATTTTATTAACATTAACAAAAAGTAAAACATCTACTTGCCTAATAAAACTTTGGCATCATCCACATCAAAATCTCCATCACCATCGGCATCATAGACTCCTAGTTTTCCTACAAGAGGGGAGGAAAGATGGATAAGGGAACAAAAGAAAAGCAAACTTAATAAGGTATCACCACTCACTGGAGTCCTGCACTTCAGCCATAAATGTTACCAATCAACACAGTTCTTTGCTCTTTAATCCTGAAAAACAGTGCTAAATGAGTGTCTTACCTAAAAATGATATGGCAATTCACTTAGAGATTCAGGAAATGTCCCTCTAACAAATCTAAGAAATGTAACTGGGATAATATTTTCCTTAAAGGTTTAACAATATCCTAACTGAATCATTTCAGATTTTTAAAAAAATCATACTGCTACAAATATTTTAGGTAAACTTTTCAACATATATAAGAAATAATATTGATCCATTTCTAACAATCACATGGAACAATGTTTCTAAAGTATGAAAGTTCCACCATCGTCAATATTCAAAACAAAAGGAACAAATACCAAGCCTCAAATAAAGACTAAATGTAAATAACTGGATTGAGTACAAGTACTAAAATTAAGAGAGCAGTTAATTTTATATTTTACTGTAATGATTTACAACAGAAACATCATGAATCAATCTTCGAAAAGAGACCTCTGAAAATAAAGAATGTACAACCGGCTTCCTGAAATCGCAACCGAAAGCGTGCAGTTATCCTTAGCAGTAGATGGCCAATGCCATCTGCTAACAGGAAAACAAAATAAGGATTAAAACAGATAACCTGAGAAAACAATACTCCCAGACCTTTCCTCACCAAGAATGGTAAATCTGTATCTTAAGGCTTTAATGAAGCTTTATCATCTGGGAGCAATGTTATATTTAGCATTTGAAATGAGTCAAACACATTCAATTCTTTTTTTAAAAATCCTAAACTCAACATGATTGATAATTTACCACTGCACAATGGCTGGGAAGAAACATCATAAATGGATAGCAATATTTTAAACAACATTCGCAAATACGGCATTAGCACTAAAGAACCAGTTGGCAGCACTGTTACCTTTTCTTAAATAAAAAGTACATTAGAACACTGCATAAGAGCAAACAGAACTTCGGGAGTAGAGCAGCTATGACTTACCTTTACCCTCAAGAGCCCTTGTCCTATGAAGGAAAATTTACTATGTAGGACTCCGATTTAGAGAGCACACACATTAAACATGACGATAATAATGGAGAGTTATTATTTATTTGCTGAGAAATGAAAAAAAAGCACACTGATCTTCAGGTCAAGGCTGTATGGAGCACAGAGCTCAAACAACGTTAGAAACAGGAAAAATACTGTAATCTCTGGCAAACTTAAAAATGGAAATTGCTCCTACCACTTACATTCTCTGACACGGGTGATAACTGAATTAGCAGACTAAGGATGAGCTTTTAGAGACTAACACCAGTGAACTTAGAATGCATCTCCAATAGCCTACCTTGAAGTACCTCTGATAAGTTATAACGGAAGTCCTTTGCTTTGGCTGCATGCATGTAAAAACATGAAAATTGTTACTTGTGCTTACACGTACAAATATCTGAAATCTCTCGTAACAGACTTCCCCTAGCATCATATAAGTCAGCAAAATCACATATTACATAGAAGCTTGTCTCTACACTAAATACTTTCTCTGTTAGTCTATCCATTTACCCAGAAATACTTTAATAAAAATGAAAAGCTTCAATGAATGGCACATTACACGTAACTGTGTTTCGCTATTCTTTGTCTTTCCCCTATCCCAGCAAGACAGCTACAATCTAATAAGTAAAGCACGGCGATCAGGTCTGTGGAAGGAAGAGGTTTCTTACACAAGAGCGCCCACACGGAGAAGTGTGCACTCTGTTCAGTGACGGGGGGCATATCTTTCCCAGAGTTATGAAAGAGGAAGGCCATTTATTCACAATAGCCAGAAAGTGGCAATAACCCTAACATCCATCACTGATAAATGGAAAAGTAAAATGTAGTATATCCATACAATGAAATATTATTCAGCCATAAAATGGAGTAATCACTAAACTTTGAAAATATTATGCTAAGTGCAAAAGGCAGACATAGAAGGCCACATACCATATGGTTCCATTTATATGAAATGTCCTGGACAGGCAAATCCTCGGACACAGATTATTTATTTACCCGTGTTTGCAGGGAGAGGAAAGAAGTGGGGAATTGGGTGTTTGGGAGGGAAGGGGCGATAGAAATACCCTAGAATAATATAACAATGATGGTAGCACAAAATTATGAATACATGAAAAATCAGTGAGTAAACTGTTGACTTTCAAATATTTATAACATTAAATCTTGTTATATAAACTTCATGCACAAAATTTTTTAAAAGACTTGGTTAGGTTAAAAAAAGAGTATGACTCCAGACATGACAAAGAATCATTAACGCAAACAATCATGAACAAGTGCAGTGATTACGAGGAGAGAAAAGGAAAAAGGAGCAGAAAGGAGGACAGCTGTCAGAAAAAAGCAGGGCAGCTTCCTCACAGCAGCATACTGAGCGCGCGTGCACACGCACACACACATACACACACACACGTGCGCACACAGCAGTTCCATCGGAGACACAGAGGGGTTGCTTTGAAAGGCTACAGCCAGGTCTTGTGAATTGCACGTTTATGATCCATTAATGAATCCTTAAAAAAATTCAGTGGTTCATACCGGTAAATTTTAAATTTATAATATAACAGAATATAAAGTATGAAATACTGCTTGCAGTGAGAGTAAGTACTGTTTGATAAAATTTTCTGTGTGATATATGTACAATTTAAATCCCCCCCTTTTTTACTATGGAGAATGTTCAAAGAAATTGAAAAGCTGGTCTCCAAGGTAATGCTGATAACATCCCTTTTTCTCACTCTTGAGAAGCACTGATAGGCTGCAGAAATGAACAGTATGAAAAGATACTGATAAATCTTTAAGATTACTAAGGATGTCATTTATGCTCCTACAAGTTCACGTAAGAAATGATATCCAAATTCTTACCTAGAACTTCCTCATAATCAACAAGATCAAACCAGACGACAGCTACTGATGTCCAGACTCCCAGCAGCGCGATGACCATGAACCACGTGAAAAATGAACTTCCAGAAAGTACTCCTTTCTTCCCATTCCTGTGTCCGCCATGCTTTGTGTCTGTTTAAAAAGAAATGATGTACAATGTCACTGTGTAAGCAAATACTTTACCAAACACCTCTTTTCACTGAATTATTTCTCCAGTAATTTGATAGTACTTAAAATGGTCATTTCAAACTAGGTATCACTTAAATTCTCAAAACATGTTACACAAAATAAAAGTGGAGAAAATGAAAGATTCTGCTTACACTCAACACAATATACATAAAACCCTAACTTCTCAGTAATGAAAGAAGTAAACTGTTGATGGGCTGACAACTTTTTAAGAATAAAGTTGATACAATATGCATGTTCTGTCTTCTAAACTCCTTATCTGAACAACTTAGATACTACCTACTTCAAAGTTCAGAGTGCTCATCTGTAACTTAACAGATCATATGGAAATGTAGCCAAATCCTTCTCTGCCCCACTTCAATTTCTATAGAATCTTAAAAATTCTGTTAACTATCACAGAAAACATCTCCCCCCAAACCACTCTATATTCTTGGCCAAAGAGGGGCAGAAGGAGGAAAGAAACAATTCATAGGGCTAGTGATCAGTGAAGAAGTAAAACAGAATAACGAACAATTCAGTGCTCCTCCTTCAGGAGACCCCCTGGCCCAAGGCAAACAGGAAGAGGCTCATTCACAACTGGTCTCCATGCAGGAAACAGTTTTGTAAACCCCGCCCCACCCTGACCAAAGGGTCATTTATCATATCTGACATGTTTAATATACCTTACATTCTTTGGGAACTATTCATCTTACAGCCAAAAATAAACAAAAGTGATGAAAGTCAAGTGATAGTAATATGAAATGGTGAACACTGTCCTTAAAAAAGGAAACACGGTAATATTCAAGTTTCTTTTTTAAAAGAATGTAATAAAGGTTATACACATACTAACATTTAACTAAAAGGGTATGTCATATCCTAAAATGCCCCGTGAGAAAAGGAAACGTTTATCAAGCAGGTGGCAAAGTAGGGTGCCACCTTTTGGGGCACGTGCCCTCCCTTCAACCTGCTTCCATGAGCATGTGATCCTCACAATGGTCTTGCCAGAGTCTCCCTAGAGGGCATTACTGGAGGCCGATACAGGACCATTCTTCATCCTGTGTGGCTGCTTCCTACCCTGCAGAGCAGCTGGCCTGCCTAGTGTCGGCTGGTCCCAAAGGCAAGGGCTCCCAGAGATTATGACAAGAACTCACTCAAACACTATTAACTGTCCTCCACCAGGGCAGTGCCTGGTGGAGAACCACTGTGCAGATAAGGACAGGAAAGATCATCTCTGTTCTATAGAGAAAAGAGTAAATGTTTCACCCAAAGTCACCAGCACAAGTCAGGTAGAGCTAGGAATAAACCGTGACTTCCCGGGACCCGAGTTCCCCGATCTGCGCACGAGTGGGCCAGATACACGATTTCCAAAAACCGGACGAGTGCTAATCCACAACCCGCTTTCTGACACCTGATGCAGTTCCAACTGTGGCAGTAATTTTCCAGTGGCTCAAATCAAGAATCCACTGCCAATTCTTCTGGATGAAAGAGTAAACTTAAAATTCTCCTTGTTTAAAAGATATATGCATTTTTTAAACCAACCAGTAAATCAACTTTTCGAAAGGTGACATTAAATTAAACCAATCTGAGAGAAAGTGTGGATGTGTGTGCATGTAAACACACTCAAACACATACATCTTTATCTATGTATCTATACTTATGTATATAAAATTGTGATGACCAAATAAAACATATTTCATTGTTAAAGCAAAAGCCAGTTTCCTTTTCTAATGTCCTTTAAATATTAACATACCCATAAAAAGGGCCAGATTTATAAATAATTATACAGTAAATTCACAAAAGTGAATTTACAGACAGAAAACATATGGCCATCTATCTCTCTCTAATATACTCTATTAAAAGTCTCCTAAAAGCTGGTTATATAATACATAATGTGTACATCAAAAAATGCTTGCTGGGCAGAAGCTGCATATTTAATCCGCCTAAAACACGCTTCACTGTTTCATTACCTGAACATCGCCATGGGAGGGGGAGAGACTAGGTGAAAATTTCTGCAATGTGGGTGAGGGGAAATGATGATTTTTAGTATTTTTTGTGTCTTAAGCACAGAAATTATAAAAACAATATAAAATAAATCACCCACTAAATTTTTAAAAGAGGAAAATGTGAGGAGCTTCTGTGGGGGCAGAGAAGCACTAGAAATACAGTAGCAGTGATGTGCGTTTAATTTGTTAAATATCTACCTACATAAAGACTTTTTAAATACTGTGCAAGAAAACCTCATTTCTATGTAACATATAGATGTATGCATACATACCCATTTGTATAAAATGTTTATGATAATAAGACTAATGCTTTCCAAAGTATTTATTTACTCCCAAATATGGAACTATGATTATGACTAAGAATGTTCCTCCCTCGACTACTTATTGTCTCTAAGAAACTTTAAATGTTCTCCTGACTGGTGTGGCTCAGTGAATTGAGCACCAGCCTTAACCAAAAGGTCGCCAGTTCAATTCCCAATCAGGGCACATGCCTGGGTTGCCAGCCAGATCCCCAGTACAGGATGCGCAAGAGGCAACCACACGTTAATATTTCTCTCCCTCTCTTTCTCCTTCTCTTCCCCTCTCTCTAAAAATGGATAAATAAAATCTTTTTTGTAAAGAAAATTTAAATGTTCTATTTAAAAATGAATGTAACGATGCAAGAAAACTGGGTTCTTGTCTCATCTCCTCTTGGACATTTTGTAACTGACACTAGTGTCTCATATTGTAACTAGAAAATAATAAGACTAAATATAGTTCATCCTTTTATTCATTCACTTAACATATTTATTCAGCATATGTGTTAGACATTATATAATTTTTATTCAATAGTTAAGCTTTCAAAATGTATACCTACATAAAAGTACGCTCAAGATGATGTCCTTCACAGGGGTGGGAGAATGGGTGGAAAAGGTGAAGGGAGATAAGAGATAAGAGGCACACACTTCCATATGTCACGGGGATATAAAGTGCAGCGTGAAGAATACAGACCAGCATAGTAACTTTGTACAGTGACAAGATTTACTGCTTTGTCACTGTGCAAGCTATATAAATGTTGAATAACTATGTTATAGTCCTGAAACTCATATAGTATTTATTCTTGTATGTCTACTATACTTTAATAAAAATTTTAATAAATAAAATTTTTTAAAAGATAGCACCTTCAAAAAGAAAATATTATTTACTAATAAAATAAGCTTTTAAAACAAATCATTTGATTTCAAAGTTCAATTCTTTCTCCATTTCTATTGCTTTCTTGGCCTGTCGGAACGACACTCTGACCCAGTGATTTTCAACCCGTGTCACTCAGCAGGCACACTGGTGTGCGGCCAAGAATGTTAAAACATGCAATACCTGACCATTTAGTCGGGGGCACTGACCTCTTTTCCCTTAGGACACCAAATTAAAAAATGACAACAGCCCACCACACAACAAAGCTGTCTGGTGTGAGTGAGTCAAAAATTAAACCTTTTTTCTTTTTTTGTCAGACTGGCAGAAAAATAGAATATATGTTTTGGTGTGCTGCAGAACTTTGGTAATTAGTTTACGTGAGCCACGAGGTAAAAAAATGTTGAAAATCGCTGTTTAACCAAGTGAACTACCCGGCCAGGGCTTCTATGTCTTTCTTGAGGCAGAAATGATGGAGGAAAGTTTCTGAGATTCTCAAAAGGAAAGTATCATTTATCCAAGTTAATTCAGAAATACTCACCAAAGTGTTTAACCTGCAACACCAGATATAAGTATGAGGTGGAAAAAGGTTTTTAAAAATAATTATAGAAATGCATGCACCCAAACAGAGAGACGGCACTGGGAGGGGAGGAAGAGAGAGAGAAGGCGAAGACAGTAACACAGTAAAGGACACACCTTTCCCTAAAGTCTGTTTAAAATATTGGTTTTAAACATGATTCTGACAACTGCAATTCAGGATCCCAGCTCACGGCACAAAACCGAAGAGCAGATTTTAAAGGCAACCTAACCCACGTGAGTTAAAGCAACAAGCTGCTGATGGAGGGAAGGCCCGCCAAAGGCAGGACTACACAGCAAGAGTGGACACAGGAACTGGAAGGGACCGTGGCAGGAGGTCATTTATGATTGATGCTTGCAGGCAAACGCTGAACAGTCTTAACATAATCTTTAGTACAAGGTAATAATGACCTTCATATTGATTTTGTCATTAAGACATTGTTTTAAACTGTTTCAAAATATAAGAAATATATAATAAGTCTTAGATTTTCATTCAGTATATTTTTATTAAGCAGATTTATCACTTTAAAAGGGTTAAGGTTGTTTAGCTGGAATAAGGAATTATTAGCAATATTTTATCCATCCCTTTATAATGTCAAATAACTGAGGTTTTACTCTGGCATTATTATCTTATTGCTGTTATTATTAATTCCATAAAGAAACAAAACAGTAAATAATAGAAGGGAAAAGTTCCTAAGACATCTTTTTGTGGGGGGCTTTTTAATTGATATCAAATAATCCACTCTTCATATGTCACTTTGTAAATATGGTGTGCCTAGCCCCAAAGGGCAGATCAGTTTCTGCCCAATTAAAATGAAAAAAGTATAGTAAGATAAACCCTTCGTGAGGGTTTAAAACTCCATAATCAAACATGAAACCAGACTTTGATCTAACAGTATTCTAGAAGAACATCAAGTAGCTGTCCCTGTTTTCTAAGACCAGGACAAATCTAAGGGTCTTCATGTCATTTTCTTGTTCCATATTCAACATGTAGTCCCAGGGATTAGTGAAAAAGTTTTGTTTTGTTTTTTAAAATGGGGGTTAAGAATATGGCAGAAACAATGTGACTCATTTTCTTCCATGTTGACCCATCAAGAAAAGTACATGACCTCCCAATCAGAAAATGTCCTCACATACAACCAAACACAGAAAAGTACCATGGTAAGCAACGAAACGTGTCTCTCTCCAAAATGAAGATCGGATTAGGGACACCAGGTAATT